TTGCAGGGAGGCACTGGGAGGTGGGCATGGGAGGGAATGGTAAAGGGGATTTTATGGTCTGTTCTGGATTATCTGAATCTTTTTTTTTTTTTTTTTTTTTTTTGGCTGTATGCGGGCCTCTCACTGTTGTGTCCTCTCCTGTTGCAGAGCACAGGCTCCGGACGCACAGGCCCAGCAGCCATGGCTCACGGGCCCAGCTGCTCCGCGGCATGTGGGATCCTCCCAGACCGGGGCACGAACCCGTGTCCCCTGCATCGGCAGGCGGACTCTCAACCACTGCGCCACCAGGGAAGCCCTATCTGAATCTTTTACATATTATTTATGTAACCAAATAAAAAGCACACAGTTAAAAAAAAATTACTTTCAGATTCACTCACTTCTCTGAATTTCCATTTTCTCATTTGTAAAATGGAAATAATAATAGTTACCTCCCAAAGGTATGTTGCATATGAGAAAATGTCTGTTGAGCCTCCAGCATCTCAGTGCCTGACATATGCCAGGCATTCGAGAAATTTTAGCTGTCTCTACCCTCTCTTCTCATGAGGTAAGGAAGAGAATAGACATTTTAAATAAATCTGATTTCTTTCTTAAAATTCTCAACATTAAAGTAAAGGGAGAACCTGAAAGCAATCTTTCTTTCCTTAAAGGCTTAATAATCAGATTTGGGGTATTTCTTTCAGGAGATCAGAAAATGGGCCATACCACCGTGAATGTACCCGATCTCTTCTGATCTTGGAAGCTAAGCAGGGTCGGGCCTGGTTAATACTTGGATGGGAGAAAATGGGTTAGATTGCTCTGATTATTTCCTCACTTATAAGAGTCCCCCTGAAAATGTATGCCTAATTTTCCAATCTAAGCATTATAAACTGTCCTTACTTTGAAGACTTTTATGAAATTGCATAGACATTAGGTCATATCAAGTATGATTATATAATTCATGGTTCATGAAAAAAACAAAATCAGTTTTCTGAAAATGTACCTAGATAAAAATAAGAGTAGTCTTCTTTCTGTCTGTTCACACAAGAACAAATAGATATCCAAAAAAGTCACAGGACTGTAATGCTTCTTTTACTATTTTACTACATTTATATGTTACTGTATATATTACTACATATTACTAATATTGCTATATTTATATATTTTACTATTACTATATAATTTACCACATATTATAGTACACATTATATACCATACAATTTACTATATAATTTATATATTTCACTATAATACTGTTTTGCTTTTTTTTTTTTTTTTTTTTTTTGCGGTACGCAGGCCTCTCACTGTTGTGGCCTCTCCCTTTGCAGAGCACAGGCTCCAGACGCGCAGGCTCAGCAGACATGGCTCACGGGCCCAGCCACTCCGCAGCATGTGGGATCTTCCCGGACCAGGGCATGAACCCATGTCTCCTGCATCGGCAGGTGGACTCTCAACCACTGCGCCACCAGGGAAGCCCAGTGAAACTTTTGAGGTAAGAAATATAACTTTCTAACTTGACATTTTCTCAATACTCACCAGCTGTCAGTATAGAAAACATGGAATTCAGATTATAGCCCTTGCCCAAAGGATTCACAAATTAAATTTGTCAGTCTGAGGGAGAAGCAGCATGATGGTGGGGTGAGGCACACCCTAAGGAGAAAAAGAAACAGAGTTAGGGAGGGGTGGGTCACTGGTACAGTTTAACAGAATGTTCTGTTTAAAGGACCCGAGATACCATTTAGCCATGTTCTGGGCCTTTTAGGAAGTTTCTTGGGAACAGAGCCTCCCTTACAGCTTGTTCACTGCTTTACCCCCAACACCTAAAACAATGTTCAACACTTGGTAGGTGCTCAGTAAATACTTGTTGACTGACTAGTACGGAAACTCAGAACAGAGAGGTAAACTGATATGATCAAGGTCACTCAGCTGGTTTATGGTAGAGCTGGATCTAGCAACTAGTTTTGACTCTTCATTCTTCGCTCTATCAAATTTAGGAAGCAGCTCCTAAAAAATGAACTACTCCAGCGAATGAAGCCTCCTGTATGCTTTCTCTCTACCTTGCACATAGCATTTCTTCTTCCTATATGAAATATTTCCAACCAAATATATCAATTTAATGTCTGAAATGTGAGTTGAGAGACTCGAGTTCTGTTCCTAGTTCCTCCATTCACTTCCTTTGTAACTGAGGCAAATGACTTAACCTGTTCAAACTCAGTTTCTTTTTTGGTTGTGAGAGGGGCTAAAGGTTCTTTCAGTTCTCCTGTCCTGTGATTCTAAATTTCATGAAAGGTTCTAATAAGCTCACCTGTGGACTGTATGTCTGAATATCCTTATATCAGTGTCCTTGAAGTGTGGTCATTGCATCACCTCTATCAGAATCACCTGGGGTCCTTTAACTATGCTGATTTTGTAATTGTTAAAAAGAATAAATTAGACATGTAGTTGTTGATTTGGAGGGATTTCCATTAAGCTATGCTTCCTAACACTTTCCACCTTTATAGTAATGGTACACATAAAAAGTGATAATATTTATGTGGTGTACTGGGTAAAGTAAGAAACTTTAGACTGTCTCTTTGCCAATTCCCCTCTCACTGAGAAACTGTGCCACTGAGAAAAACAAGTTGCAAAAAAAGAAAAATGATCCCGTTTTTTCAAGACAATACCAAAATTCTGTATGACTATGTATAAGCATGTCTGCATGCATATGTATTATATGTTTGTATACGATTATGTGAGTTATGTTATGTGCTTGTAGATATACAGTATTATAAGAATATTGAAAGGAACATACTGGGTTGTTAACATACAGAAGAGAGGAAGCAGGACAAAAAATTCAAAAAAATTTAAAAAGGTGAAAACACTAGTGTGTATGCTATGAACCCATTTATGTATTTATGTAAAGGAATATATTCATATATAAAGACATTTAAAAATAGAATAAAAAATGCAGATCTACGGCCCCTACTGTAAAGCCAAATCTCAGGGACAGGAGATATGGAGAGGTGCATCGTTAACAAATATTCCAAGTGATTCTGTAACAATGAAATCTGTAAATCTTTGCATTAAGTGCTAATATCATTAGCTGTAAACACAGCTTCGTTGGAAATTTCCATCCTGCAATGCGGGCTCAGCTGATCTTCATTGTCTTGGAACATACTAGATGCATAATAAATAGCTGCTGATTATTTGAGTCATTTGGAAGACAGGTGGAGGGAGTGAGGGCCAAAGTGGTGGGAGAAGTCGATCAGCTGGGCAAGGTCAAGCTCAGGAGCCATGAGGAAAAGCACATAAGAACAATGGACTGGGCTCCCTTGGCATTTTCAAACATTCAACAGTATTTGTTAGGCACTATATACATGCAGGGCACTTTTCTCTACCTTATTTCATTTAATTCTAAAATAACCCTTTACAAACTCAGAGAGGTGACGTGGGTAGCACAGTAGTATCAAAATTGGGATTTGAACCCCATGCATATTTTGAGCGCTCAGCTATAAACTAGACTCCTGGCAGCTGCTGAGGATAGGAGGGCAAGCACAATAGATGGTTTGCTCTTTTTCATGTCCACAGTCTTGCAGCTCGGGCACGATCATTCCAGTCTGTTGTCACTTATTAGTTGACAGTCCTAGTCGGCTGCCTAGAAGCAGCTTCTTTGTCATATATCCCAACCTGGATCCCGCCAAAGAGAGATTATAGCAAATGTGCTTTTTTGTCTATCGTCACTAGCTAGTGTTTTCACAGTGGGGAGAAACTATTTCCCAGATGATTTTGAATGGTGCAAGAAGACTAAGAAGACTAACTCTAGTTCCTTCCAATTCTTAGGGACCTATCAAGGGAAAATAATTCTGGCTTTTTATAGCTTTATCTGCTAAGTGTTTTGCTGTTAGAGCAAAAGGAAGGTGAGAGGTGGGGAAAGAGATGCCCCCTCATTAAGTTCAAGGGTGGGGCAACGAATGGTACAAATAAATTCCACACACATACTCATTTTTTTGGTAATCTCTGGTGTTGGGTAGTGGATAGGAAAAAATCAGAAGTGTATATTTTGCGCCTGAATGCTTGAAAGAAAACAAAAACGGCATCTTTTTGTCACCCACTAACATTAACTTAAGGGCCTTGATCTTTGGACCTGTGCCACGCCGCGATCATTTCTGGAGAAGTAGCCATTTTGCAGATTCTGGAGAACGGTACCAAGGGCCGGACCCTGGTACTGAATCTCTCTTTCCCAAACGTCTGCGGAGCCAGTCCGGATCGGTAGCACCACGGCTGTTCTCCGTGATTTAGCAGCAACCTAGAGTCGGAAAAAACCGGAAGACGGGAGGCGGGGATTTCCAGGTGGAATCAGGGGTGTGCGAAATTCATTAGTGAGGACAAGGCCCCACCATGCGTTATCTGTGGTTACAGGTGCGGAGCTTCTCTAGGTCCGCGCGCCTCTGAGCCCAGTTAAGCTGCCACTCCTTCCCCAGGTGTGCAGCCTGCGTCCCAAGCTGCCTTCCCAACCTGGGGAAGTGGTCTCAGTGTACGTCTTTCTTGCCAACAAAGTGCCACCTCTCCCGTAAGTCATGCTTGGCCACATGGCGCCGATTTTAAATCGATAACACAACCAAGTCCAGCCGGACGCTCCGCTCATCCAAATGCGCTTAGCACAAAACACCGCCGGGCGCCTTCCACAGTTCCCAGCTTCCTCCGCCCCTAGTTCCTACTCGGTCGAACTTAAAGCCCGGAGTGCTGGAGTGCGGCTTGAAGGAACGGGATGGTGAACTAGCAGCGGCGCCGGCGTCCGGCAGCCCGTCGCACCGGGCATGCTCAGTGGCACGGCCGGCTGGGTGGCCTCGCGAGCTGCACCCGGATCTGCTCGGCGGCGGCGGCGGCGGCGGCGGCGGCGGCGGCGGCGGCGGCTGCGGCGACGACGTGAGCGCGCAGGGGGGCGGCGGCCTCGCCTCCTCTCTCTCTCTCTCT